TTTTATATTGCAACCACTCAACACATTTTCAATTTCTCTCATAAATGAATGAACGAATGAGTTGAAAAGAAAGGAGAAGAGATGAACAAAAATGAGTGAGAAGGAAAAATTAAATGAAATTTCAATTATGAAGCATTCTAGTTCGCAACAATGTTGTATATAATGTGTGTACAGAAAAACATTGATTATGTCTGTGCTTCAAGGAAAACGAAGAGAATAAAAGTCTTTCTAATCACATTTTGATAGCATGTCACATAGGAAATGAGGTAAAAGAAGAGAATATAAATATAAAATGTATGTCAACTAGAATTGTTATTGTTGAACATGAAATGGTAAGGAGTTATGACAATATTGATGGATTTTTCTCTTTTTTGGAGATAATGGACCATCAACAAGTGACGTGCTTTAAAAAACATTTGGCTTTTTAATTCACGAATCAAGCATTATCAGTTTTAAAATGTGGTTTAAATATCCTTAACAGCAGCGTAGCCACAAATTTTTAAATGAGGTAAAGAAAATGAAGGCTAGGATGAAGGGTATTTTTTTACCAAACTTTCTGTTTTATTCCCTCATTTTATGCCTAAAATATTGCTTTAAAAGGCAGAACTAGTCACATAAACTTTCATCAACGACTACATCATGTTGAAAGCACTGGTTCTCGTCTGATCACTGAAGTTAAGCAACGTCGAGAATTGTTAACACTTAGATGGGTTCTCACTTGGAAACACTATGTTCTGTTGAAAATTTTTGGTTCCTCTTTGCAGTTTCAATTTAATATTTCAGTTTTTTTTAAATAAAATCCATATTTGGGAGATTCCTTGGATATGAACGTTTAAAAAAATCCTTTTAAATTATTTTTTTTCACACTTCAGCTATCTATACGTTTAAAACTGGACAAATTTATGTAAGAAAGCGCTTAATTCTATCATATTTCTGTAAAATGTTATTAATGTAATGTTTAAAAATGCAAATTTTACTCTAATTAACAACAATTTCTTTCACCAGAATCTTGTATACATAAGTATCCTATTAAATGAAGATTTAAAGAAGATTTAAACTGGTTTTTAAATAGTGTTAACTAAGATTTTCAATTTTTAAAGAACGAAGATCAAAAAGCTTATTTTATCAAAATTCAACACATGTGTGGAATTGCCTTTTTTAAAAAAAATAAATATTCGAAAAAATAAGTCACAGACATCATGAACAAGCAATGATAAAATGAATTGAGATGCCATGCAAGAATAAAACATCATCTCATAATCTCTACGGTCAGATTAATCTGTTACTTCCTGACAAAAGAGCGAATGTGTTGCTTGTATTGCATGCATTAAGGAAGCGAGATAGAGAAACGATATAGAAAATAAAACTCAAGAAATCTGTTGTTCATTCATTATTAATGGCCTCAAGAGAAGTAGAGAATAACTGAGGAGGAAAGGAGATGGAAAGAATGTTTCAAGTGCTTGGCATGTCCACAAAAATGGTAACATCTGTTTGTCATCTCATAATTTTAAAACATGACTTTAGAATTATACATTGTATAGTGCTTCATTCTCAAGCCATACCACCTTCTCACCTCCTTTGCGACGTCTCAGGAATCTCTAGTCTTATTATTTAGCATTGAATTATTTAAACATCAGAATTGAATTATATGTAATTATAATTATGCTGAATAATTACAGTCGCTCTCTTTCTTTTGGCTCCATGCCATCATTTTCAATTTATTTCCATCTCTCCCTCACTCCTTTTCTAATCTTTTGCTACATTTTAAGCCATGTGCACTTCATTCTATATTCCTCTTGAGAGAAACGTAAGAAAGCAGTAGTAGAAGCAACGGTAATAAGAAAATATAAAGTGGAGATGATGATGATGATAATAAAATATTTAAAAGTCTTTTAAAATGGAAAAAAGAGAAGCTGAAGTGTGGAACTATGTAAAGTAGTTACTAAAAATTTGAAGCGCCTTTTTTGCAATATAGTTTTGAGGGTATTAATTGAATAACTTAGTGGGTGAGATTTACATTTAAATTGATTTTTAGAGAGATTACCTGCTGTTAGGATAGGAATGTATGTGATTGAGTTTAAGAGTCATTGATTAATAAAAGTCGAGATTTTAACATAACATATCGTAGATTTATCTAATAAATAAAATTGAGACTCCGCTCAAGAAGTCAGACCTATCCTATTGTGTTATATTTTGCAGAATTTTACATGGCTTCAAAAAAATGGACATAATTTATTAACAACTTTCTTGAATTTTTCGTGATTTTCCGTTATCATCGTCATTGTTATGATTTGACTGTATAGTTAAAGTTTTCATTAACGACCATTAAAATTAGAATTTAAAGATTTTTTGTGCTTTAGAGATAAGACAGCAGTGTCTATGCATTCATTTCAGAAAGCTTTCTTTAAGGTAATATAGAAGGGAAGATGATGTAGTGGATTATCAATGTTTCTCTTTGGTAAGAGACATGCTAGAAAGCAAAAAAATTGTTATTTTAAAACCGTTAGAACGACTTGAGCAGGATAAAATAGATTTTTATGGATTGTGTTTTGACTGCATGATTGTTGTTTCAGGAAAGTTCGTCATCTTTACATGATGTCAGTTTCCACTACCTTATTTTATGCCACAGTTGAGTTATTCAGTGGGTTTTTTCCCACCTAAAAAACAAGCCAACAAACTTGAGACAAAATGAAAATCATTCTCATCAGCTTTTGAGCATCAAAAATATTTAATGAAGTGTATGCAACAAAATCTTTTAACTCTCTTGATATTTAACCATTTTTCATAGAAATAATGAAAGAGAACATGTAGGCATAGCTTTTTATATTTTTTTCCTTACCAAATGACATTGCATAAAATTAAATTCTTTCACCATACATTATGTCTCAATTTAAAACTACATCACATGTTTGTACAATGACAATTAAAATTTTCCTCCTCATTTTCTTCTTTATGTAGTCCTCATCTCCCCCTTAAAATTTCATACATTTTCCTTTCAAAAAAGACCTATAAACGATGCGGAGGAATAATAATAATAAATGTATGCTTCTCAATAATGATGATGAATACATTATATGGCAAAAATGTTCAAACAAATGTTACAAACGCGTTTAAATTATTCCACTAGAATTTTGTGTGTATGTCTGTACATAAAAAAGGTTGATTGATTTTATTCATTATACTCAACTTTCATAGCGTGGTTTTTTTCAACAAAAAATAAAAAAAAACGTGAGGGTGTGTTTTTAAGAAAAAGGTTTGAGAAGGTTTTCCTCTTAAATTGGAACAAATATTGTCTTAGATTAATTGATATGCGAGCCTTTAGAATTGACTTAATTGCTTAATAATGTTCATTAGTTTAACTTTCAGTCATTAATATAAAACGCGTCAACATTCTCTCATGCATAGTAACTTATTCAAGTGGAATTTATGGCTAGTTAACAGAATTGTCAAGTTTGTATGCGTGTCCATTAAGCGCACAAAATGAAATTTTTATGGTTAAGATTGGAAAAGCTCACTGAAAACAGTTTTGAAATTGACATAATTAACGATAATATCAAATATCTAGCAAATATTCCACTTTCTTTAATTTTGACCTCATAAGTCCTACACCACAAGTCAACATGCTGATTCAAATCACCTAGGATCATATCTCTCATAAGTTTATCTCTAAACTATAAAACGTTTTTAAATCAATAATATTTTCATCTTTATGCATGCATAAAAAAGTCTGATATAATAAACTAAGTTCCACATACAACAATCAATATCCCTTTGGTCAGCCACTACAAAAGAATACAAATAGCACACATTTTAACAAGATTGTATGATGAGGAAAATATTTATTTGTATATCCTCGATAATTAATATTTTTATACAAGCGAGAAAATATCCACGGTTTTTATTGTCATATCGTGAGTATTACAAGTTTTTAATTATGACATAGTGCGTTGGATATGTGTAAAAAAATATGAAAATAAAAATGAATTGTTTTATGTGAATATATGTACTATAGCCCCCATATAGCTATTATAGTTTACAGCAAACAATTAATTCCAATGAGAGCCTTTTTATCGCGATGTACACTCGTGGAAAAATAAACCAATTTTCTTTTTTCCCATACAATGTGAATATTTGATGTGTGGTCGGCTGTTGCAAACACACTATTATATAATGCGTATGGATATAGTACAAAAGTGACATTTTTGTTTAAAATTATGTGAAATTAATTTTTCGTAGTAATTTGCATTTTATCAGATGGGTTATTTTGACATTGTTAGATCATTGAATATTGAATGTTTTTGAACTGTGTGAGTTGTGGAGGATTTACGTTTGAAACATATCAAAGTGATTATTTTATGTTACATAAAATGCTCTTTAAAGTCTGAAATAATATGTATGTATAGTTCTAGTAACTCCGCCTACTATAAAGACAAATCTGCTAATGAGAGCATCAGACCTTTATAACTAATAAGTTATAGTAATATTTAATTTTTACTTATGTGACCGACCAAAATTCGATTCTTATAGATTTTTATGCAAATTAGTCGTCACTTATATTAAACCATCCAAATATCGCTTAATAATTATCAAAATGCATTAAACGATCATCAACCTAATCAAATCTCACTCTAGCCCATCACAAGTCAAAAATAGAGACATAAATAATGTACACTGATGTTGATTTTGGATATTTTAAAAACTGATAATCATATTTGCACAGTTTCTTAAATTATTTAGGATAATCACATCAAATATTTGAAGACTTTAGTGTTAGTATTAATATTGCATCAAAACATATCACGCTGATGCTAATAATCATTAAATATTTAGTAGCAATTTCAATTACAATCAAATATCCTTAAGTATGACATGAAAAACATTAAAACATTGAATGATTGTTGCACTGGAAATTTAACGAAAAACAATAGAACATCAAATTTACCTCAGCTCAAACATCAAAACGATAGCAAAAATCTCATTTGTTTTCAACTGTAATGTGAGATACATAATTATAAGCATGAATGAATGAATGATTCAATCTATCAAAAAAAAAAAAAATGCACGATAATTTTAAACTTTTTAATGAATATTTTTTTGTTGCTAAAACTTTTTTCATTTAATTTTTTTTTTTCTTTATTTCTTGCACAATTTTTTCTTCAATATTTTTTTTTGCATATTCTTCTCCCACAATAAGTTCAATTAATTCTTTGTTTTTTTCTTTTTTTGAATTTATTTGTGGCAGTTTTAAGAGTTTTTACTTACTGTTTATATTTACGAATGCGTTTTAAAGTCAGGGTTCGATTTTTCTTGATATTTGATATGAATTATGGGGATGATAATCAATTGAGGAAGTTTTTATTTATTTTCGAAAGAGTTTAATCTAGATCTTGAGGTTAGGATTTTCCAAGATTATCTTTTTGGGAAGATTGACCTCAAATTCTCACTTAATCATATTTTCTCAGTAAATTTATTTATCTCTCAAATCAGTGAATTCTTCTCATTTTTATGAACCATCTTAGCAATAGAAACTATTCTTGCTACTTATATTCGACTAGAATAACCTAGTGTATTGCCAATGTTAAACTTCATTACAGTCCCATGTCAACCCCCTGACTTATCTACTAATCTCTCAAACCTAATGTTAATTTTTTGGAAATTTAAAATCCAAATATAATTCTAAGAAATTAGAAATAAAAACCTAATGAGGGGAGTAAAAATTAATCAAATAAATTAATTCATATTCTATAACTTTAAATAACTAATTTGGATGTGCCAAACAGCATTCAATCATCATCTTCTGCTAATTTCTGTTTATTCTACATCCAATGACTAGAAAAAGTTTTATTTCATCTTTTGCTCTACATCATCGACTATTAATCTCTAACGATATGTTGGACTGGAACATGGTGGTAAACTCATTGAGGCAGCTGTATCGAGTCTGTTGAGTAATTAAGCGTTGCATGAAAGAAAGAAAAAGAAAAGAAGAAAATATTTAATGAGATTGGTGAGAGAAAAATAAGTTTTTCAAATCGAGAAAGTTTTGTGCATGCTATTGGCAAATAAATGATGAATTAGTAGTTTATTTTATGGATGTACAAATGCAAACAAAAATAATTCTAGATAAGAATGACAAGTGATTTTTTAAAAGTTGCAACTTTTAAGGTTTGAGGGTTTTAAAAAAAACATAAAAAATTAATTATCACCTTCTAGTTTCATTTTCCAATAAAACTGGATCGATAGGTTCTTGTGCCACATTTCTTAGCGAATCGGCAACGGTTTGTCTGAAAATAAACAACATACTTAATAACTTGAAAATGGTTCTCAATATTCCACGAATCTAACCTCAATTGTTCGGCTTCGCGTCCAGCTCGAGAGCCACGAAGCAACAAGAGTTGTCTCCTCTTAGCTTCTTGTGCCAATTGTTCACGTAACATTGAAATCTGATTCTCTAATCTCATGATTTGTTGTCGATGAGAATTTTCACGAGCATCCAACAAACGTTCAGCTTGTATTTGAGCTTGACGATAACGTTCAGCATCATTGGAAGCACATTTTGGTGGATTTTCTGCAAATTTAGCCTTTGCTCTTGCCAATTCAGCTTCCTTTTCAGCAAGTTGTGTCTCTAAACGACGAACTTTAATGCGCAAATCACGGCATTCATTCTCAATTTGAACATGATCCAAGCCACATGAAAAACGACTTTCAGTTTCAAGACGATTTGAATCATATTCACCATGACCATCATATTTCTCTGAACGGTCGAACTGTACGTGACCAGAAAATTTACTACTTGTTGCTCCACTTCCAATACCACCTCCGTAGCGCTTTTCTTGCTCCAATATGCGAACCTTCTCATTCAGTGTATCAATTTTTCTCTTCATATCGGCCTTTTCACGATCCTTAAAGTCACTTGAATCTCCTGCACCACCGCCACTGCCGAAATTATCGGGATTTTCTTGATTCCACTTCATAATACGCAATTGAGATTCAAGTGCCGAGTTTTTGACTTCCATTTCAGCTAATTGCTCTTGCATGCGTTGCATAATATCTTGATTGGATTGCTGCGTACGACGAAGTTCGTTAACAGAATTCTGTGCCTGATCTAAACGTTCAGCCAACACGCGACGTTCATTTTCACTGTTTGTCAGTGATTTTTGAATGTGCTTGATTTTATCTTGTTCAATTATCAAGTGTTGTCCTTGATCAGAACGTTCTTTATTCAATCCATTAATTTCAGCTTTGAGTTCCGTCTCAGCAATTGCAGCTGCTTGCAAACGATCCTTTAATTGATCAATTGTCGTCTTTAATGCGACACATCTATCTTCAAGCTGAGTCGACGATTTATTTGCCTGCTCCCATCGCTCTTGAACATTTCTCAAAGCACACTCCTTCTCCTGCAAAGCCATTTGAAGACGTTGTATATCACCTTCTAATGCGACACGTTGAAGATCTAATTTCGATGCTCTTCCTTCAGCACGTGCCAATTCATCCTGCAAATGTCTCTTTTCCGATTCAAGACGTGCGACACTTTGACGACATTTTTCGAGACGCTCTTCGCACTGTGCCTTTTCTTCGTTCATTGAGCCCAATGATAGCTCTAATGCTGCATTTTTCTCACGTAACATATTCAATTCATCCGTTTTACTCTTCAGAGCCTCCTCGACTGATGTCAATGCATTTGTTTTTTGTGTTAATTTTGATTCAACATTCGCTTTCTCCTCTTGTACAGCACGTAAAGTTTGTTGCAATTTGCATATCTTATTTTCATTACGGCAGTTCAGTTCACCAGATTCGTGAATTTGCTTTTTAGCTGAACACAATTGGGCTTTAAAGTCGTCCTGGACATGGATATACAAAGAAAATAGAAAATAGAAATTAATAGAGTATAAAGGTAATTTTTGAGGTTTTTTCTTACCCTTTCACGCTCAATTTGTGCCACTTGATGCATTAATGTACGTACACCTTTACGCACAAGTTCCGGATCCACATCAATAATCATATTATCACATGACAAACTTCGGCTATCATGAGAATCATTAGGACATGGACGATGTGGACTGTATCGTCTTGAGGGACTCATTAGACGATATGGCATAGTCACAGAACCATCAAGTTGAACACCAGCAATACGACGTAATGTATGACCGATAGAACTCAATTTGATTTCGGTATCCTTTTTACAAGCCTCTGAGTGCATCAATTGTTCGTCTAATGCTCTAAATATGTGAAGAGAAAAAAAATTGTGTATTGGAAAAACTGACATGAATGAATGACTATAACGCATTTTCAAAAGGGTGATAAAATGAAATTATGTAAATTTTATGTATGGGATTTTTACTTCCGAGAAATTTGTCCTTTATTTATTCATATAATTAAGAAAATTTTCTTGTAGCTTTAACTCAAATTAGAAATTATTTCAATTTCATGCATAGAAATACAACAGAATATTAAAATGAAAGAACTAGTTATATTAGAAAGTTATATCTGACTGATTAGACAGTTTTTTTGGGAATTTGAGATGACTGTATCGACAAAAATATAGACAAGTGTAAATAAAAGTTAAATTTTAAAAAGTGCTGAAAATTGGACAATACTCAAAATTCAGCGTAGCATACAGTAAAATTCTTTCTTGAATAAAACATCTTGACATTTTGAGAAGTTATAAGAACAAGCTCGGAAATGGCATTCTGAGATAATGACTTTTTAATGTTGAAAAAAAAAACAATAAATTTTACTAACCGAACTTTGCCTTCTGCTCCACCAAGACGAGCTTTTAATTCTTGAATCTGCTGTGTCGCATCTGCTAGACAAACTTCCAAGTTATGCTTTTGATCCTCGAGACGTTTTTCTCGTCCCCGACCTTCCTCAATGCGGGTCACTAATTCAGCTTCACGACAATGGAATCGGCTATCGTCTTGATTACATTTACTTCTGGCACGACATAGTTCTTGCCTTGTAGCATGCAAATTTGAGTCCAAGTCACAGAACTGTTTTTTAAGCTGATGTAATTCCTGCAATATACGTTCTTTTTCTTCCATTTCATTATTTAAACGAGCTTGTAATTCCTTCTCAAGGTTGTCCTTTTGTGACGCATTTGCCTGCAGTTTCTGAACGCTATTTTGGGCAGTACCCAAATCTTGTGTCAATTTCGTAACATTATTTTCAGACTCTTTGAGAAGAGTCGAGAGACGAACTTTATCATTCTCGAGTGTACTGCGTGTTTCTTCCAGTGTCGTAATTTTCTGTAGAGCATCTTCTAATCCTCTCAACTGTTCGCGTTTCTGTCCCTCGACGCGCTTTATGTGATCTCTCAATTCTTTATTTGACGTGACATATTTATCCTTTTCGATGTTGCTATCTGCCAGATTTCGTCGTGTGTCAGTTAATTCCTTTCGGAGCATTTCTGCACTGGTTTCAGTTTCACGCAACTTTCTTACGGTATCGCCAAGCTGATTATTGAGTGAATCTGCTTTATCCTCTGTCAAACGCAATTGAACTTTAAGCTCTTCAATCTCACGACAAGCATTTTCACGTTCCTCTTTGATTGATGCTATTTGTAAATCATAGCGATTTGCTTCCTCCTCTGCACGAATTCGACTCTCTTCCATTTTACTCTTTAGCTTTGTCATTTCTTCACGTAATCCTCCAATTATGTTTCGATCTTTTTCTGTTCGACTTGCCATTTCCCGTCTCAATCGCTCAACATTTTCAAGTTCTGCTTTCAAGTCACGTGTTGTTGCATCTAACTTCTCCATGACGGCTTGTTTATCGCGATGTGCTAACATTAGTGCCTGTTGCTTATCATTTTCTGCACGAATGAGCACTTCCTCATGCTGCTGTATTGTCGCATCTAAATGCATTTGTAGATTCTCTAATTGATCCTTTAGCATATGAATCTCGGCATCTTTTCCACCCTCGAGTGTTTGCAATGCTTGATTCATTCGTTTCTCAAGTGCCATTCGGATCTGTTCTTTTTCCTCATTCAATTTTTTGACATTTTCATCATTTAGCGACTTCAAATGTGCAATTCGTTGTAAGAAATCTGCTTCTTGTGTAGCAGCAGCATTTGTCATTTGAATCTTCATTTCCTGTGCACGACGTTGACAATTGTCGAGATCTTTGTTCATTCGTGTGACCTGGTTTCTTAATGACTCCTGACTAACGAGCAATTCTTGTAATTCACGTTCGAGTTGTTCCTTTTTGATTTCTGTTGCTTCCAAGGTCGTATTGGTATCAAATAAAACAGCTTCAAGTGATTCTTTTTCGGTCCGGAGAGCAGCAAGTTGTTCTTGAAGGCGTTGAAGCTCTTTATCCTGAGCATCAATTACAACCTGTCTCTCATCATTTTCTTTAACTAGCTCTTCAAGGTTACGATTTAATCTGTTATTCATCTCATTAGCTTGCTCGAGACGTTGACGAGTTCTGAGAATTTCCTCACCCATTGCCTCCTTCTTCCTCGTCAAGCATGTCAATTGATTTGTTAAATCCCCACGTTCACGTGTCAATGTGCTAAGATCTTGATCCACTTTCTCCTTCTCAATTTCAACCATTTTTAATTTTTCACTCAATGAAAGCTTCTCAGAGTCTAAATCCAATCTCATTTGTTCCGCATTAAGGAGCTCTTTTTTTAATGACGCAATATCATTATTTTGTTCAGCGGAAAGATTTTGAAGCTTTCCTTTTTCCTCATCAAGTTGTAAAAGTAATGTTCGCAGTTCTTTAATTTCATGCTCGAGATTTTCACCGGAACTGCATTTTTTTTCGAGATTATTATTGAGTTCCGTTTTCTCATTGCTAAGTTTCTCAACTTCATATTCCAAATCCATACGTTGTTTATCCATCATTGTTAGTAAGCCGTCTGTTTCAATTCTCTGCTGTTCCAATAAGTCACGTGAAAGATACAATTTATTCAATTCTTCGCGTAACGTGATAGTTTCTTCTCGCATTCTACTTGAACGCTCTTCCTCAGCCCTGCAAGTTAAAGTATATATAATTGTAATTTAAATGATTTTTTTTAAAAAAATTATCAAAAAAAGAAAAAAGTTGCCGTGACCAGGATTCGAACCTGGGTTACTACGGCCACAACGTAGGGTCCTAACCACTAGACGATCACGGCTGTTATCGCATTGAGCTACTGAGCTCGTTGAATGTTGCTTGCAAAAACACCTTTATAAGTCAATCAACATTGAAAAATTTCATTTAATTACATTAACCGGTTATATGCAGCAAAGTTTCAATTGAAAAGGTATAGTTAAGCACATAAGATATTGCATAAAATGAAAGAGAGATTGGGAAATTAAGATTTAATCCCACCATGTGGTTTTAAAAAATGTAATTGTTTTTTGAATGTTTTGCTCAATGTTTTCATACTGCATTCGCTGTGCATTTTCCAAAACATTGTGTGACTTAACAATGTCCCATACAATATGTGTCTAATTTTCAAATAACACAATAGAGCATATTGTAAGAAGTTTAAGATAAAATTCATATCTGCCACTATGTCATCAATTGCTTAAAGATTACCATTCGTCCAACTTCAATTGAAAAATGTGAAGAATTTGGAAAATTTGTGACCGTAAAACTTTTTACTCTTCTGGCTTTGTTCTTATTGCCCATTATTAATCACTTATCTCCTTAGCACCCATAGTTATTAAAAAGTAAATGTATCAAGTAATTAATATATTTAAATTTGCAAACTATGAAAACTGACTCACTTTTTTATGATTAAATTACTTGGGGTTCGTTCACTTATTACGTAACGCACTAGGGGGGGAGGGGGGGGGTCTAAGATTTTGTTACGGTTTGTTACAGGGGGAGGGGGGGGGGGTCTAAATTTTGTTACGTAACTTTTCAAAAAATATATTTTTTTAAAATTTTTTCTATATTAATTTTAAATTTTTTTAACGTTAAATTTTAACTTAAGAACTTTTTAACAGAGATCGAAGCCGATTTATTTTTCGGCTTAACTCAATTTTTTTTTATTATTATTATTATTATTACATGCTTTTTATTGAGTTGCTCTGTCTGTTGGTTTCTTTGTCACGTTCAAAACTTGCAATCGATTTTTCGACCACTTCTGCTGCTCCAATCGAGCTCAAATTTTTTATTCACACGTATTCCCGGTGACAATACAATATTTTAACATTTTGAAACCACAAAAATGCTTAATTATAGTAAAATTTAAGTAAAACTTTTTTATATGGGATAACAATCCAATGTCAATGATATAAAATTTTGATTTGTTTAAAATATTATACTTGAAATGCTCAAAAGTCATTTATGTGATTCATTATAGTTTAATTAATATTACTAAATATTAATTACACTATAAATTTGAGCAGCTAAAGATATTCCGGTAAGACAAAAAAATTGACATGTAATTTTTTCATGAATATTCGTAAGTGAAAATTTGAATTTTCAAAAAAACCGTGTAGCACAAGTCCGTTACGAATTAATGCAAAATAACTATTCATATGAGATATGCATTTAGCACACATAGTTTGAGCATATATTTATGCTGTTTTTAATGTATTACATTATTTATAAAACTTCACCAACTTAATTAAATTTACTTTTCTATTTATTAACGGCTTGAAGTATATTTGTATATAAACACAAAATCTCCAAGATTCATTTTTAATGTCCTTTACTAATGAATGTTTTAAAAGCACAGAAAGCGCACATAATTGAAGTTCAGGATATTTTTTAAGAAGTTTCATCTGTTTCCAGGTATGACTTAAATTCTATAAAATAAATGAATGAACAAATGTAATCTATAAACAGTTGAACGAAACGGAGTAAAACGAAGTGGAGTTGAATTTGAATTGCTGTGGTCGATATTCGATTGAAAGATTGAGACTAAAAAGTAGCAAATAAAAAAAATGTTAAAAAAACTTTTTAAAAAACACGCTTTTTCCCAAAGACTTAAAAAACAAATAACATTTTTTCTTGAAGTTAAATCTGTTGTTTAGACTAAAAACCAAGCGACCAAAACAGGAGCAAATAAAAAAACGTTAAAAAAACTTTTTAAAAAACACGCTTTTATCAAAAAGACTAAAAACCAAAAGGTTGAAAATAAAATAAGATCACACTTTTAGCAAATCAGGATTTTAAAAGTTTTCTTGTGACAACTAGAAATGTAACATAAATTTTTTTCAAAATATTCTGATTAAGTCCAAGAACACAATGACTCTATAAGCGTGGGGCGTAATTTAAGGATGCATTTCTTAGTTCAACTAAGTTCTTAAGTAAGAGAAGCGTCAAATCTCAAAGCCCCACGCTTTTCGAGTCATTGTGTTCTTGGACTTAATCACAATATTTTGAAAAAAACTTATGTTACATTTCTAGTTGTCACAAGAAAACTTTTAAAATCCTGATTTGCTAAAAGTGTGATCTTATTTTATTTTCAACCTAAGGTTAAGCCGATTTTAAGCCGAAATTTAAGCCGATCGGCTTAAAATCGGCTAACTTGAAATTCTGAGCTTCCTATAGCTACATGCTGACAAAATGTTACACAGAATCATAGTAAAGCACATAAAGTTCAATTTAAATACTTGAAATGGGTGTTAAATGGCTTTTTTCTATCAAAAAAATCAAAAATTGAGTTAAGCCGAAAAAATCGGCTTCGATCTCTGCTTTTTAGTTATAAGTAAAACTGTTTATTTTACATACTTAAAGGAAGTATAATAAACATTTGATAAACAATTTAAATGAAAAAAATTATTGTTACGTTATGGGGGGGGGGGGGGGGGGGGGGGGGGGTCTAAGATTTTGTTACGCTTTGTTACAGGGGGGGGAGGGGGGGTCTAAAAACTCGTTTTTTTGCGTTACGTAATAAGTGAACGAGCCCTTGTTAAATTACTTGTAACTTTATGATTAAATTACCGCTCATATATGTATAATCAAAAGTTTCCATTATAAATTGAGATACATTTTGGCTTATTTTGAAGAGTTTAATTTAGAATTTTGAAGTAAAATCACTGAATTTTTTTTTATCCCTGTAATTTTGTTGTTGATGTGTGTCCACAAATTTTAAGGGTAAACAATGAACCATTTTTGTGGGAAAAATCTTATATTCTTCAAACGAAGAAATAAAAAAGAGAAATAAAGTTTAAACCAAATTTTAAAAAATTTAAGTTTATTTCGACATGCGTTCAAACGAAGATATGGCTCCAAAAGTCCAATGCTAAATTATGTAACAATCAACAATAGCCATTCAAAATTCTTCAAATTATTTAAACTGTGGTCCTAAATTATTAGTGTGACTTTGTGACTTTATAGATATTCAATGTAATAAATTTTCTATTCAATTGTTCAGCAAACCTAATTAGATTTTTATTTATTGACAACTTTTCTCGATAAAAATTGTATTCGAATTATTTACCAGCCTCAGACCCCCTTTAACCTGTTTTAAAACAAATTCTAAGACTTTCAAGTTTAATTAAAATAGTTTTAATAATTTGTTTTCATATTTTTAGTAAGATGGATAAGCGGTGCCACATGAATGATGATAAACCATGGAACTCTAAACAAAAACAAATTCAAAGATCAAAAGTTACAAATGGATTTCAAAACAGTTCTTGGATTATTTATGAAAGACGAAATAATATAAAATATACGGGAGAAAACTATCCAGTTTATGAAAAATTTAATAAATCTAATTCAATTTTTAATATTATGTTCAAACCAGTACAATTTTTATATAATGTTGAGTTAATAAAAAAGTATATTAAATTTATAAATTCAATTTTAATCAATCTGTATAGTTAAGAATTGAATTTTTTTAAACATTATGCATTAAATGATGTACCGAATTCAGTTTTATTTTCAGGACTGAATTACTAGTGTTAATCTTTTACTAATTTTAAAAAAGAAATTAGTATTTTTTTCGAAACGAAAAATTAAAAAAATATGAAATTTTTCGAAGTTTTCCTCCCTTGAATTTTCTCGAAAACGATATTAATTCTATTTTGCCAGATGGGATCATTCCTTAATAAATGGTTCCGTGGCGAAATGGCTACCGCGTCGGACTTCGAATCCGAAGATTGGGGGTTCGAGTCCCTCCGGAATCGTTTCCTTTTTTGGATAAAATTTTGCTTCTCCTTAGCAATTAAAATTTTAAATTTTTTAAAATTGAATGAAATATCTTTTTAATGGTTCTTTGACAGTAACAGAAAAGCGCCAGACTATGATGATGCTATGATATTCTGTGGTTAATGAGACATCGAATGAAAAAAATCAGCATATTGTAGATCTCGATGATGCATCACACAAGATGTTAATGAAAACCTTAACTTAATATTTTTGATTTTTATACACACTTTCATTACACTATAAAAAAAAAGAAGTTGAAATGAACTGACGCTTTTATATTGTATAAGTGATGACAAATATCTAAATTATTCGTTATATTAGAATTTATGAACCTTCAATAAAAGGGTTTAGAAAAAGGAATTTTGTCTTTTTAAAAATATTTAAATATAGCATGTTATCAAAATTAGTTAAAGTTGAGTTTCTGCTTCAGAACACATAAGATCAAAAAATATCGATCGATCGGATCAAAACAGAAGTCTTTGTAAAGTTATTGTTGAGTTTTGATTAAATATGTATCGAAATAAGTGGGTGTGAAGTACGGCCGAGACCTATATCGACACAGTTTAAAAGTTAAACCTAATTTATGTCATAATTATGTCAGTTACAAAAACACTTAGATTGAATTTTGTCAACCTCGAGAACACTATGATCCAGTATAGCTGATTTTGGTCCAAATCACGGCCATACTTCACACTTATTTGAACCACATTTTCTCGTAAATGTTACAATATTATTAACAAGAAACTAATCCTGAATTATGTCGCCATTTTGTCAAGTCTTTTAAGATAAAGAAATTTTTTTTGGTTTCCACAGTGAAGAGTATGAACAAAATTCAGGTGGGATAGTCGAAATTTTAGCTTTCGATTTTTTTTTAAGCTATAGATTAAAATAATTAATATTGGTATGTGATTTATATCAGAATTATGTCAATTCAAATAAAACATTCAAAAAATTTTTTTGACCAAAGTACACTACAGAAAATCAATTTTCAATTTTGGATTAGGGGCGAACCTAGTCAAAACCAATTTTTTCACTTTTTTCTTTGAGGGTTTATCCAAATGGATTGAAACTTTGCATAAATATTCTAGTGCTTAATACAAATAAAACATCTTAAATGTTTTTTGATCAAAGAACCAAGTAGGAAATACATTTTCAATTATGAACTTGGGACAGGTCTAGTCAAAATCTAGTTTTTGTCACTTTTTTTTCTTCAAGGATAAATCCAATTACAGTGAAACCTTGTGTGAGTATACTCATATTAATACAAAACGGTTTTAAATATCGAAGTAGACTAGGGTCACCACTAGTCCAAAATTGAAAATGTATTTCCTACTTGGTTCTTTGCTCAAAAAAATTTGAAGATGTTTTATTTGTATTTGTTTTGAGCACTAGAATATTTATGCAAAGTTTCAATCCATTTGGATAAACCCTCGAAGAAAAAAGTGACAAAATTGATTTTGACTATGGTCGCCCCTAGTCCAAAATTGAAAATGTATTTCCTACTTGGTTCTTTGCTCAAAAAAATTTTATGATGTTTTATTTGTATTTGTTTTAAGCACTGAAGTATTTATGCAAAGTTTCAATCCATTTGGATAAACCCTCGAAAAAAAAAAAGTGACAAAATTGATTTTGACTAGGGTCGCCCCTAGTCCAAAATTGAAAATGTATTTCCTACTCGGTTCTTTGCTCAAAAAAATTTTAGAATGTTTTTTTTGTATTTGTTTTAAGCACTAGAATATTTATGCAAAGTTTTAATCCATTTGGATAAACCCTCAAAGAAAAAAGTTATTAAATTGGTTTTGACTAGGTTCGCCCCTAATCCAAAATTGAAAATTGATTTTCTATAGTGTACTTTGGTCAAAAAAATTTTTGAATGTTTTATTTGAATTGACATAATTCTGATATAAATCACATTCCAATATTATTATTTTTAATCAATAGCTTAAAAAAAATCGAAAGCTAAAATTTCGACTATCCCACCTGAATTTTGTTCATACTCTTTACTGTGGAAACCAAAAAAAATTTCTTTATCTTAAAAGACTTGACAAAATAGCGACATAATTCAGGATTAGTTTCTTGTTAATAATATTATAACATTTACGAGAAAATGTGGTTCAAATAAGTGTAGAGTATGGCCGAGATTTGGACCAAAATCAGCTATACTTGTTCATAGTGTTCTCGAGGTTGACAAAATTCAAACTAAGTGTTTTTGTAACTGACATAATTTTGACATAAATTAGGTATAACTTTAAAACTGTGTCGATGTAGGTCTCGGCCGTGCTTCACGCCCACTCGAAATAAAACCATTCCAGAATTTTACCAAAGAAGAAATACTCAAGATAAGAACTCTGCATTTAATTCAACAAGCAATCATATAGTTAAACGCAGGGATGGCTTAAAAATCAATTCTATTCCTTTCAAACAAGTTACTTAAAATCGGAAAAAGAAAAAAAATAGCATAGCTAAAACCAGAGATAAATTAAAGCCATCCAAAGGTTGTGTTTTTTAATTTAATGCGTTGAAAGAAAAATAATAAATTTGTACTAAATGTTAAAGCTATAACAACTGAAGTTTTAAAAACCGATCTTTCATTTTAACACATCTAGAATTCTAGGATGTTATCCATGAATTTCAATTTATGATCAGTGACGTTTTCAATACAATAAGATACTATACTCGAGTTGACTCGAGTCGACCATTGACATTGAATTTTCAGAATTTTTAGAATTAAAATCAAAAATGTTGTCCTGCGTGCACTAATTTCAGCATGTGTAAATGATGGTGAAAATTTTGTACCGTTTACTATTTATTTATAGAAATCACTTTCAAGCGTCTCTCTTCCACACGTTTTATCTCATAATTATATTCTTTTATCTTATGCAAAAAACCATATTTGCCAGTTTTATGATCTTAAGTAATAGAAAAGAAAAATAATTTAAACGAACGCTTGAAATATGAAACTTTAAAAAACAGCAAATCTCCAATTGACAGCAATTATTTTCCAATGCATCAGAAACAAATTTCTTTCACAGATTCATCTCAATCATGCAAGGATGTTGGATGCTTTGAAGAAGGATATATGCGATATCGATTGAATTTGTTTGGAATAACCCTTAAATTAAGCATTTGGCAAGCACTGAATATGGTTTTTTTCGGCTCCTTGGCGTAATGGCTAACGCGTCGGACTTCGAATCCGAAGATTGGGGGTTCGAATCCCTCAGGAGTCGAATATCTTTTTTGCATAACTAGAATAATATTTTTTATATTTTTTTTATCGAACTATTTCTTTGAAGGGAGAAATTTTAATATTTTTGCATCCTTTAATAAATGAAAGATTTCATTTTCAATTTTGTTCCATTTTTAGATTCGTACCGATTTTTAAGTCTTGTTTGTATCATGTTTCACTTTTACAATTCCAAAATATTTTAAAACCCTTACCTCAAATTTAACTCGATGATTTCCTTATCCTTCGACGTTCGCTTCAAATCAATAAGAAGAGATTTTTTCTCCTCTTCTAATGAATCGACAGCTTTTTGCAATTTTGCGTTGATATGCTGCAATTTCTCATAGTCCATATTTAAACTATCGACCTAAAAAGGTAAAATTTGAGTATGTGACTACGAGTTCCCAAAAATTAAGAAGTGCAAAAAAGAAATAACATATAGAGAAGCAATCTTGAGAGGCTGATTGAAGTTTAATGGATGGAAGTGTGTAATCATGTTATGGTTACCCTTCCCTCTACAAATAAATCATTCTGAATAATTCAATTACTTTATGAATCCTTCAACAAGCATCTCCTTCCGATATTAATTAACATCTACCTAGCTTTTCGCTTATTTCAATCTTAAACTCCAATTAACTCCATACAACGATAGAGCTTCAACATTGATTCAGCACATACAAATAAATTTAATTAATTTTGGTCGCAAACTCACAATGGAATTCAATTCTGCTTTGCCGCGTTCAACGCAATGTTTATCACTTCTCATATCATCTAACGTCTTTTGTAAGCTATCACGTTCCTTAACCAATTCCGATAACTGATAATTTGTGTTATCTAACTTGTCGGTAAGTTCATTAAACTTTCCTTCGAAATTCTCACGTGCACACTCTGTTGTGTCCAATTGCTTCTTTGTTTGCTGTAAGTTCTCGTTGTTTGCCTGTAGTTTAACTTGAAGATCATGAATGGCAAGTTGATATTTATGGAGAGCAGCTTGAACTGCTGAAATTGTTCCTTCTGCAAATGCTTGTGAGGTTCTCATTCCACCACGTTTTGGTGATCGAGATGATGAAACTCCACTCGGTTGTGATAAATGTAGATGCAAGGCATTCTCACCGTCACCAGAATCAGCATCCTGTACTACAGCATGAGCAATTTCACGCAATGCGGAATTTAATCTTTCAATTTCCTCATTAAGTCGCTGATTCTGTGTACATTGATTCTCAGCTTGCATGCAACGGTCCTCGAGGATTTTCAAGTCATTCAACAATTGTTGTAAGCGTTGATCTCGTTGAAGAATTTCATTGCGTGCACCTTCATGCTGAATTTTCATTGTCGACAACTGTGACTTTAAATCCGCAATCTCACGCTCTAATTGAACGTGTTGAGTTTCCTTTAAATAAATATACTTACAATAAATAATTTATGATTTGTTATTGACTCAACTTACATCCAACTTATTAGCATTACGCATGTTGACAGACACACCACTGCATGCTCCACTCACTTCACGCGTTGTTCCGGATATCTCACATCGAAGCTTTCCTAAATCTATTTTTGTGGTTTGTGCCATTTCTTTGAACATTCTCTTGACAGAAACGACTTCTTTCCACATTTTTAGCAAGCGATTGTGCTCACTATTGTAGTAGTCGTTAAATGCCTGTAAAAAAGTGAAAGGTTTAGAATTTTGTTCTAAATTACATACTTCACAAGTGACGGAAAATATGAAGTCTAGAAATATATCAGATCAACAATTTTACACTTCGGTTCAATATCAGGAAGTGATGATTGGGAATGTCTTGCTTTTTTTGCTTGACAATTGCGCACCCAACAATGAACTTGTTACGACATTGCTGGCAATCAATCCCTCTGATCCTGATACAAAATAAGTAAACAAATAAATGTTGCCTAAAATTGATAAAATTCGTAATACGAATGCTGTCTGTATAGATTAAAAATTGATAGTCATTAAGGAACAGAAAAAGCAAAGTGCATTTGTACTTCAAGACAACCTTCAAACGTATTCTCCAAGCAATTATTGAGAACACTTTATACCTTAATAATTTACCAAAAATTAATCCATGGACTTGCGATAAGATAAACTTCAATTCTACTTTTGTAAACAACTTTTATCTCTTAGCTTGACAAATTTAGATACAGTTAAATTGTTTGGTATGTATGTCAGATTATCAAATTTGTCACTTAGCATTTGCAAGAAATTTTATGAACATATATTTACGATATAGATATTAATTGATTTTTTATAAGGAGTTGGGTTAGCAAACGATTGTTTTCATTCAAAATATTCAATTATCTATAAAATGCCTACCTCTTCCTCCATTTTCCATTCATCTTCCTTTGACATCATTTCGTCCCTCAAACTTTCCCAATCGTTTGTCAACTTCTGCAAATCATTCGTCAAGCTTTCATTCGTGCGATGTGACTCTTCAAGCTGATGCCTCAACTGTGAGTTCTGTGCAATCAATTGATCACAACTGGAAGTAAAAGAAAATGTTAAAAATATAAAGCTCATGTTAAGTTAAGCTTTATTCGACTTACAACTTGCGTTCCTCTTCGACGCGTTTACGTTCAAAACTCTCATCTGACTCATCACTACAATAAATTGGACCTGGCTTGGTGATTGGCGGTGAATCAAGCACTGAACACACTGGTGGTAAGTTCATTAGAGCTGCAGATGGTGATGATAAAAGTGCCGATTTTGTGCATAATTGTGGTGGCAATGGTGTTGATGTAGCTGCTAATAACTTTGAACTATCAAGTTGTGGACATATTGCTGTGGTATCATTCATTTGAGTCTCAAGTTCTGAACATTTTTGTTTATATTGCATAACTTTAGCCTGCAAGCGACCAACCAGTGCTGACTGATTAGACTGAGCCTGTTTGTAAGTGTCCAATCGACGACGATAATTGCTGCTCTCATCTTGTAATCGTTGTCGCAATTCTTGATTCTGTCGTAACAAAACATTCGATTCATTTGGAACTGGACTGTGCATTCTCACATTTGCTCCGTTTGTGTCTAATCTTGACTTTGAAAACGGACGTGAAAAAGGCTTCTTCTTATCGAGACTCGAATTTACACTGTCACCGATACGTGATGTTAAGCTCGTTGGCTCTTTGGTCGGCAACTGAAAGAAATTATTAAAAATTAATTCAATGCAACACCAAAGCACAATAAAAATAATCAGCGATGTTTCTGCAACCTTGAATGTGACTCTTCTCATCACAACTCGTGGTCGAGTACTAAATGTTTACTTCTAAGTCCTTTTTTCAATTTTAAAAAAATACATAAAAATAATGATTGTCTTGCTTTACATTTGTTGTGGTCAAGTTACCATCGAGTTTGTAGGGATTTCATTTTCTATTTCAAAGGAGTGATTAGTCAACTAGTGTCTGTCGAAAAAACTTGCGTGAAAAAAAAGAAAAAAAAAACCCTTCAAATTTTTTTGACACTCAATTCAGATTTCCCCTGTTTTATTTACGTATACATATGTGCATATAATCTTTATTGTTAAAGCAGGTTATAATATGAAAAGTAAGTAAGTATATTGAATTTTGCTTGATATTTAATACAATTTAAATTGAGAAAGAAATTTAAAGAAGAACCCAATCATTGAGTTACAAGCTCAATTGATTAAAAACTTAATTTGTGAACGACTACCCTCTTCCACCTCGTTCAAAGAATGACAATATATCTACGAGTTTTTTCAAAACACAGCCCCGCAATTTTACTTTTGATCCTTGTTAATTTTTGTAAAAATTCGTTCTTGGTCCCAAAAATGATATTGGTACTTGAATTTAACTTAAAATTTAAAACACTCGTAACAAAGACTTGTAAATTATTATTTTTACCACACACATATCTGCTTTTACCAAAATTAAATTGTATGTAGTGATTATTGTGGTTTCTTTTTATGCATTTTTAATGAGAATTCACGTCATGCATCGTTACACTTTTCATGACGTCATAGCTTGCATTCAAGGGTGATTTTTATTGTTTTTACTACACATATGAAGAAATTGCCACCACGTGTGGTGTCTCTTAATTTATTCTGTACTGTCCTTTTAAATTAGATATGTTTGGGTTTTTGCGTTGGCTTAGAAATTGAAGTAAAATTTTTTGATAATTTTATATTATTGAGAACTTCAAATTCAAGCCTATTTAATTTCTTTAAATCTGATTATTTGCAACTATTTAGACCAATTTCTAGCTCTGAATGCATGCCTGAATTCTAAATTGGGCGTAAAATCGCCATTAAAAAATTTGAGAAAAAAAAATCGTTTCCATACGAAATAAATTCAAATCAACAACCGTGTGGAAACCATCAAAGCACGTTGAAAATCTTCATTACTTTGCAATGAACCAAAAAATATTAAGTCTTTATTTTTTTCATTTTAATCTTTCACTCCAAAATATATATTAATTGGCATCTTACAATCTGTTACTCGAGCCAACTTCAAAGTCGTAAATTAAAAAAAATATATACAAGGATCATTAGTTGTTAACAAGAATAGCAACTTAGTAAGAAGTAGAGCAATTCAAAAATCATCCAGTCACTGTATGCATTGGATTGTGAAGTTTTGCTCTTTAGACCGTGATTATTCTATGTGGTACGTGTCTCCATCCACAATATGCAGCAGAAAAATTGATAATGATTCATGAATTGTAGAGCAAATGCTTAATCATTATCTCATAAGTATTATGTCTACGAAATTTTTATGAAATGTTGAGACTGAACTTTTGATGACATTTTCAGTCTTTATTATATATTGGACTTTGAATGATAGGGTTTTGAGATTTTTATTGAGTTGTTTTTATTTCATTTTAAAATTTCATTAATAATCAACTTTTTAAAAAAGCAAAACTTCTTTACTTTTGATATCAACAATTTATTTACCAAAAAATATCTTTTAAGGCTGGTTATAATTTCACGTGTAGTTATTTTGAATGTTTTAAAAAGAGTCATCTAGTGAGATTATTCATATTTTTTTATAATGACCCTTCAATAACAAGGCAATTGAGTGATTTAATAAAAAAAAAGAAAATTTTGTTTTCGTTCCTGTTTGCTAGCTATTTCTCGTTGCACTATGGGCTAGAAATGGAAAATTTTTCCAAAAATTATTTCTACAGCTTATATGATAGTCCTTATTCTGCCCTACATTTATGTCCTACATTTATGTCGACAGCATGTCCGAGATATGGTACTTCAAAGTTGGTCAGACGATTATTTTCACGTTACATTGAAAATGCTCTCACCAGATACTGAATGGATGAATCTCCTTCAAACTTTTTTGTTAATAGCTTTAAATAGTTCCTTTATTTTAAGATATAAACAATTGCAAATACCTTTGGAAAATTTTGTGAAAAACTTGATTTTTCTCAAAAACCACGTGTTCGTCATACTTTCGTTTGTCTAGGTCTTCACAAGCACAACTAAAGTTACTAATTTCTTTTTAGCGCATTTTTGTATACTTGTCAGTGTTGCAAATGTAGATGTCTACACTAGATGAAGAATGTAGATTCTTCAATAGTTTTTGTCTAGCTAAGAAACTTTCTTCATAAAGATCGATTCTTCATCTAGAAAGAAAAAAACCATCTACATGTAGATTGTGTCTACATGTAGAATCTGTCTACATATAGATTCGATGTAGATGTCTATAATTCTACATTTTTTCCAGGTCTACATCAGAGAAGAATGTAGAATCGTAGACATCTACATTAAATCTACATGTAGACAGATTCTACATGTAGACACAATCTACATGTAGATGGTTTTTTTTGTTTCTACATGTAGAATCGATTTTATAAAGAAATTTCTGTCTCAGAATTTATCTGATCTAGACAAATGGCCAGAATGCAACACTGATACTTGTATACAAAAGGGAGCTTAATAATGCACTTTGTTCGTTCGTTCGTTCGTCTGAAGAAAAACTTTTTAACCAGACATCGTAGAGAGCTCAGGTTTGTTTTATTAGCTCCGTTACTATTGTTTATTGTCCGATCGAACAGTTAAAAGTCTTAAAACAATACATATATGCTATAATTAATGAATTTTTGTTTTATTTTCAGTGTAACCTGCTCAAATTTTATTTTACCTCTATAATTTCAACATTACCTCTATAATTTCAAAAATTTTCTAGCCGTTGTAAAATTTAAATTTCAAAAAACCGTTAAGTGATAAACTTTTTCTGTATGGAAATTCATTGGAACAAATTATTTATTTATACTATAATTAATTTTTTCGTAGTGCAACTTATAGCGGGAAAATTTCAAATTATTTATGTATACGACAAAAGACAGTTCCATATGAAGAAAACCAGATATTAATTTTAATGCTATTTGAGCTATAATATTAGCTTTTTCATTTAGTTTTGTTATAAATGTTTCATGTATTTGATAGCAGCCTCAAGATATAATTTAAAGCTTTTAAATAATTTGATTTTATAAATTCAAAATTTTTGGTTGTCGCCAACGTGAAGCTTATTTGACTTCAGTTGTGCTTATCGTAGTCTTATACGAATTTTAGTGGATGAAAGTCTTAAGCTATACATTTGCAAAAAGGTTTTAATTTATTTTTTTCGTAGATTGTTACATATCAATGCAAAAGATATTAAAAAATTAAACAAAATAAGATAGTTATTAATAAATAAAAAATCCCAATTATAGAGAAAAATGAAAATTTAATCGTGAAAATTTCAGATTAGGAGAACTAATGAAAAACTCAATGGAAAATTCCAAAACTTAAACGTGTCATTAACATTTATATAACAAATAAGTGTGCAAACTTTGAGAGTTTTTCATAAAGTCTTTGCTGAGAAAAACGAAAAACATTAAAAACTAGCATATATAAAATGCGTTTTTTCCCCAAATTGACTATATTACTTGAAAATGTTCCAAAACTTTTCATGTTAACATATTGAAAATTTCAATACCTTTTCAAAACTATGCAATACTTTATATCTTTGATACTTGTGTAAAGAACCATTTGAGAAATAAAAAAATTTTAAACGATTTTTAACTCAATTTAACCTCCAAATGGCTTCAAATATGTTAAGTTCTTATTGATTTATGTTTAGGAAAAAGCTAGGAGCAAAACTAGACAAAGTAGTGAAAAAAAAATGTGGGCGTGAAGTACGGCTGAGGCCCATATCGACACAGTTCAAAAGTTATACCTAATTCATGTCATAATTATGTCAGTTACAAAAACACTTAGATTGAATTTTGTCAACCTCGGGAACACTATAAACCAGTATAGCTGGTCCTAATCTCGGCCATACTTCACACTTATTTGAACCACATTTTCTCGTAAATGTTAAAATATTATTAAAAAGTAATTAATCCTGAATTATGTCGCTATTTTGTCAAGTGTTTTAAGATAAAGAATTTGTTTTTTGGTTTCCACAGTGAAGAGTATGAACAAAATTCAAATGGGGTAGTCGAAGTTTTAGATTTCGATTTTTTTAAGCTATGCCTTACAAAAAGTAATATTGGTATGTGATTTATGTCAAAATTATGTCAATTCAAATAAAACATTCAAAAAATTTTTTTGACCAAAGTATACCATAGAAAATCAATTTTCAATTTTGGACTAGGGGCGACCCTAGTCAAAATCAATTTTGTCACTTTTTCTTCGAGGGTTTATCCAAATGGATTGAAACTTTGCATAAATATTCTAGTGCTTAAAACAAATACAAATAAAACATCCTAAAATCTTTTTTGAGCAAAGAACCAAGGAGGAAATACATTTTCAATTTTGAACTAGGGGCGACCCTAGTCAAAATCAACTTTCCCACTTTTTTTCTTCGAGGGTTTATCCAAATGGATTGAAACTTTGCATAAATATTTTAATGCTCAAAACAAATTCAAATAAAACATCTTCAAATTTTTTTGAGCAAAGAACCAAGTAGGAAATACATTTTCAATTTTGGACTAGGGGCGACCCTAGTCAAAATCAATTTTGTCACTTTTTTCTTCGAGGGTTTATCCAAATGGATTGAAACTTTGCATAAATATTTTAATGCTTAAAATAAATACAAATAAAACATCCTAAAATTTTTTGAGCAAAGAACCAAGTAGAAATACATTTTAAATTTTGGACTAGGGGCGACCCTAGTCAAAATCAACTTT